TGTATGTATGTATGTATGCGTGTGCATTTGCGTATGCGTATGCGTATGCGTGTGCGTATGCGTATGCGTATGCGTATGCGTATGCGTATGCGTATGCGTATGCGGTATACGTATGCGTATGCGTATGCGTATGCGTATGCGTATGTGTGCATGTGTGCATGTGTGCATGTGTGCATGTGTGCATGTGTGCATGTGTGCATGTGTGCATGTGTGCATGTGTGCATGTATGCATGTATGCATGTATGTATGTTTTTGTGTATGTATGTGGGCAGGCGTGTGTGTGTATATACATATATGTAGGTGTGTATGCATGTATTGCATACTTTCCTGTAAATATGTATACATATGTGCATGTGTGTATATACATTTAGGTATCTGCATATAGTGTGCATATAGTCGCAGATGTACACAAATATATATGCATATGTTTATGTATGTGTACATGTATTTGTATGTGTACATGCATATGCAAATGCATATGTGCAGAACTACTTGTATACCTAATCTACATATCTAGCTATCCACTTATCTTCCTATTCGCCTATCTGCCGGTCTGTCTACATGCCTATCTGCCTGTCTGCTTATCTGCTTATCTATCCATCTACCTATCTAGATATCCTGCCTCCTTACCTACCTTCCTTCTTACCTACCCTTTACCATCTATCTACCTACCGACCTGCCTTCCTATGTACCCACCTGCCTACCTATCTATCTGTCTGCCTATCTATCTAACTACCTATCTATCTAGCTAGGTCGCTGGCTGGCTAGCTGGGTAGCTAGCTAGCTGTCTAGCTAGTAGCCAGCTCGCTCTCTCTCCCTCTCTCTGTCTCTCTCTCTCTCTCTCTCTCTCTCTCTCTGTCCCTCTGTCTGTCTGTTTGTCTGTCTGTCTGTTTGTCTGTCTGTCTCTCTGTCTGTCTGTCTGCCTGCCTGCCTGCCTGTCTCTCTGTCTGGCCCTCTGTCTCTCTGTCTCTCGGTCTCTCTGACTGTCTGTCTGCTGACTGTCTGTCTCTCTGACTCTCTGTCTCTCTGACTCTCTGTCTCTCTTCTCTCTGTCTCTCTTCTCTCTGTCTCTCTGTCTTGCCGTCTCTCTGTCTGTCTGTCTGTCTCTCTGATGTCTGTCTGTCTCTTTCTCTCTTCTTCTCTCTCCCGCTCTCTCTGTCTCTCTCTCTCTCATTCTTTCTCGCTCTCTCTCTCTCTCTCCCTCCCCGCTCTCTCTCTCACACTCTCTGCCTGTCTGTCTGTACATATTGTACAAGTGTATATGTGTATCTATACTGCATTCCGCCTCCTGTGCTAGATCCCTTGCGCCTTGCGAGACTCAGCCCACAAGCATTCGTTTACGACGGAGGCATGAACTGCTTTCTGCCCGCAATAGCTGCCGACTTCGGGAAGTATTTGGTGTGCCCGGGGCCCAAGTTGCATTAGGGTTTAAGCTGAACTTTAGAACTTTAGGTTGTATACCCAAGTGCAAATCGAACCAACAAGACCCAGAATTGCGAAGACTGCATCGAGCACCGGAGCTTGATCCTAGAATTGCCAACATCAAGAGCACCCCGAACCCCAGATCGGACCGCGGCCCCCAGCGTAAGCCGAATCCTCACCCCAACACCCACGGATCAACGAGGCCCCTGCTTCCTAGTGTGACTAGTTTCCCAGTCTTCCCAGGAAAAGTCTTGAGAGTTACGGGCTTGGATTCGTTGTTTTGAGATGTGATGTGTTGCGGCCTTGGAGTGTAAGGCCTCGTGGTTTGTGTAGACCCTACACGCGAACACCTTGGCAAGTCTCAGGCTATCGCCTGCGTCGAGATGACGCCTCCGGGCTCCAGGGCCTTCATTGCCCGTTTCTTCCTGGAAGTGCCGGGCTCGCCGGTGCGACGCAGGCGTGCCCCGGGGCAGAGTTGCAGTTGAAGGGTTCAGGCCTGGCTAGGTTTTGAGGTGTTGACGCAGAAATTTTGACAGCCGGGAGGCTTCTTAAAGGCTACTTCATACTTCAATTCCTGCAGTTAGGATTCCACAGGACAAGAAACGGCTGGATGATCCCGAACCCTTGTCCAACATCATTAGCATGTAACAAAGTTGGAAGGATCCCAAGTTTTCAGGCCTGCTGCGATTTTGTGTTTTGTATTCTGGCTTCCTATCTGTCTGTCTGTCTGTCTCTATCTCTCTCCATTTATCTATCTATCTTTCGGTTCTCTACCATGCATCAACGTACCTATGACACAGACAAGTCCAGAGTCTAGCAATCGAGATTGAGACAGCAATCTAGCCAGATCGATGGATAGATGCATACGCGGACAGTGAAGTCAACAGCCACATCCTCAAGTTGTATAGTTACGACGAAGACGACGGGGACGACGACGATGACTTGCGCGGACATCAGACGGCCTTCTGACAGTAGCGAGCAGAGAGAGAGAGAGAGAGAGAGAGAGAGAGAGAGAGAGAGACAGAGAGAGAGAGAGACGGACAGAAACGGACAGAAAAAACGAGAGAGAGAGAGAGAGAGGCGATGAGGACTACGACGACGACGACGACGACGACGACGACGACAGCAACCATGATTAAACACAACTCATCATGAGAGCGTGGCTGCTGATCATTCAGGTTCTACTACAAACATGGATCGTAAGATTGGGAACAGCAGGAGGTGGCAATTGTAGTATATCCTTATCGTTGCTTCTGTAGCCCCATTTGTTGTTCGTTCGTGAAGCTGGCCACATACAATCAAGCTTTTGCATGACTGAAGTCTCAGCCTGTTCTGGCTGACGAAGATCAGAATCATTATCAATATTACCGGGAATACATGATTACAACTATGTTATCCTTGCCATTGTAAGCAATCATGACTTACTGGGAACATTGCTCGAATTGCTATGGTCATTATACTCTCGTCATCCAGCTTCCTTGTCGTCCCCAACACCATCAAGCTGCCATGAAGCCCGAGGTGGCGGGGGGCCTCATTCTGTTCATGGCCGCCGCTCTTTGGACATGGCCCCTTGACTGGCCCGTGTACCGTCAAAGGCTCCAGTGTTTCAGGTTCAGCCATTTTTCACGCCAGTCGCTTTCGCGGCATCTCATCTTTCTCGAGAAGGTTTGAAGGTTTGTGGGTGGATCCTAGACTCCGATGCAGCAACTAAACCCGGATACTCCGCATGATTCGGATTACTGTCGTAGTCTCTGCACCCTAAACCCTAAACCCTAAACCCTAAACCCTAAACCCCTAAACCCTAAACCCCTAAACCCTAAACCCTAAATCCTACACCCGTACATCCTACTCAGCGCCTTGGATCCAAGCATCATCCGAAAAAACACCCTAGATCCTGCACCCTAGGACCTACACCCTGCACCATTCACTTCTAAAGACTCCTAAAGCCTAAACTTCGAGCCAGGGCTGCCCCAGCCTGCACCGCCCTGAAGCCTAAGCCGTTATCTGGAGACTCACTTGATCCGTTGTTGGGAACAGGGTTTAGGGTTTAGGGTTTAGGCTGTATTTGGGGGTTTCCATCAACATGTAAGGGACATTCCGGCACCAAGCGGGGTTCAGGAGTCTTTGGGCAGCCAGGCTACTCAAGTCTGTTGAAGGCCAGAAAAGGAGGAAGTGTGAGGCTTGCTGATAGGTCTTCAGTGGCTGGGAGGTTCTATTCTACGATAAGTATGGTAAGCATGTTGTCAGGTCCAAATATTATATTACATATTTAGTTATCACTACATTAAGAATCCCTAAGGCATCATATCATTTTTTAATTTCGGTCCCCTAAACCCTAAACCTCAAACCAGCAACTTACAAAGCGAATCACTCCGGCGGCCACGAGGCTCAGACTCTCCAGATCCGAGGAGGTGGGCGAAGGGTGGGGATGCCCGACGAAACCCGCGTGGCTCCTTAACCCTATAAACCCAGCCTTCTTGGTTAGGGTTTAGGGTTTGGGGTTTAGGGTGTAGGGTTTAGAGTTTAGGGTTTTGGGATTGGGGTTTAGAGTTTAGGGTTTTGGGATTGGGGTTTAGAGTGTAGGGTTTCGGGTTTAGGGTTCAGAGTTGCTGTTGAACTCAGGATTTAAACCTTTTAGGGTTTACGTAGGGTTGAGGCAGATCCCAACGTGCAAGTGATGGCTGCGCAACACAAACCCTAGCTCCAGATGCTCAGCATCAGGACCGCAAGTTCACCCCTAAGCTGCCCTGTCTTGGGATTGCTGGGGGTTTTCGGGTTTAGGGGACCTACCCTAAAATTGGGAAGAACGAGCAACAGATTCTCCTTTGCAGTTCCACTTCATATGAGACATACTCCAAAACCCTATGACATGCTTTTGAGGCCCCTGTGTTAGCGCTTGTGAGAGAGCTGGAAGTCCTTGAGTTTCTAAACTCACAGTAGCAAGCGGCTCCTCCCTCAACCGCTAAACCCCTAAACCCCAAACCCTAAACCCCAAACCCTAAACCCTAAGCCCCTAAACCCTTAAACCCCTAAACCCCTAAACCCTAAACCCTAAACCCCTAAAAAGGATATATCCCCGAAGCGCAATCCAGGGGCTGACGCTGCGCAGCTTTGGAAGCCTAAGCCCTGAATTCCTCACCCCTTTCCCCCTGAACCCCAAAACCCCAAACCTGAGGTTTTTTGAGAGTCTATGTTTAGGGTGTTAGGGTTCAGGAATGCAGCTTTGAGGCTGTTAGAGTTCCCTGAAGGGTTCAAAGCCTTCAAAGTCTCAGCATGTCTCAGCCGCACGTAACATTTCGGCTGGGAGGATCCCAAACCCAGCCACGTGGTCTTCCTCACCAGCAAGTACCAGCGCAGCTATGCGCTCTTCGAGACGGAGCGCTTGATCAGGAGCCGTGCTTTCCTCCAGCAGGGTACGGTTTGGATTTCACGATTTCGCAAATGTCTCAGCACTAGCTCATGTCGAAGATCGTAGAAGGTGTCCTTAGAGAAGCTGTCTCTGTATTCCGCAGCCTTTCCCGATCGAGTCCAACAGCTGGCTTGTTTAGTCGTCCTTGCGGTTGGGACCCTGTTTTGCAATGGCCTGCTGTACTCGATCAACCGAGGAAGTCCAGGTGGAAATGGTCGAAGCCTCCAGGCTCGATGCGCATCTGGGCCCCGAAGGACGGGGCCTTTTTTCTGTCCGCTGATGAATGGCAGATTCCCTTCTAAGCATCGGCGCACAGACACTGTGCAAGACGATGGGCATGTCGTGCCTGCAGGTGAAAGTGGCTTTGATGAGTTCAAGGAGCTTGCAAAGCATGTGCACCTGTGGCAGCAGATGGCATTCCCACAAGACACTTCGATCTGCGCCAGAAGGCACATGTCATGTGGCCCTATACCCTAAACCCTAAATGCAAAGGTCCAGCATGGGCGAGAAGATGGAAAGACAGGAGGCTGAGATCGAGAGGCAGGCTGCCGAGCTCCAGAAGCAGGCAGACCAGATCGTGGACCTGAAAGAGAGGTGCGAGCACCTTGGCTTCTGAAGAAATGCGCAGCGCCGGAGCCCTACCGTGAACCCCTAAGGCCAGCAGCACTGCGGCCCTAAAGCGATTCTGAGCCCAAGGAACGCCATGAGTCTCGCGACACAGGCCATCCCGCCAACCGAATGGGGTTGCCTCACGCCCCAGCAGAAGCTCATGCTGCAGCTGTTGTTGGTACTCTTCTTCTCGCTCGTCGCAGTGCCGGTTCCGCTGCTGATTCCCATCAATGATCCGAGAGAAGGTCCGCTCAACAACATGGCATTCTTCTACGGCTACAATGTCTTCGTCATTGTCTACTATCTTCCCGGCCGCTCGGCACCGAAGCTGAGGCTGAGATGCTGGGATGTCGTCTGGGTGTGCTGTTGGGTTTTCTCTCTAGGCTTTGGGGTTTAGCGTGTGACCCAGGTCAGTACAGACGGTTGCAGCTGCTGCTTGAGCTTCCTCCTGTCAAGAGCCCGGGTGGGGAGACGATGCTGAAGAGGTCCATGACGGAGTCAAGTGCGATGAGCTACCTTCAGAAGGCCAGCTATGCAGAGAAGGTCAAAAGGGTTGTCTTCTATGCTTTGGTCATCTTTGGGTGGTGCACGGGATACTTCCTGTGTGCACTTCCATGGGGGACTGACCTGATCTACTCTTACAACATGCTCTATGCGGCTCCTCCTACCTTTGCCATGGTCGACTGGATGTTCCTGATTCTGCTTGGCCACAGATACTGGAACTTCAAGACCCTGGTGCTCGTCTT